AACAGGGCATTCCTAGAAACAATGCTTTTTATAAACATAATCCAAACAGAATGCTCCTCCTATCTAGATTATGCAGAAAGGGTGGCAAAGGTGGGCAATGGAATAGTGAATGTAGGTCAACAAGAGAGATACAAGGTAATTCTTTACCTTCGGGAAATGCCTTGAGAGGCCTCTCAAAGCCCCATGTGCCAAAGTCAATTCAGTCATTTCCTGTCACCATGAAAACTCTTCCCAGAGCAATTAAAAATCTTAATGCCTATAGTAAGAAAACCATGATGCTGTGGATGATAGAAGAACTTTAGAAGATAAAACAAAAAGTTAGAAGAAACCATAAATCAAATTTGGTAAAGATTAGATTAGGAAGCTCCCAAAAGTTAGGATTGAAGAAGGGTATTGTTTCTGTCTTTTCAGGAAAATAAAAAGAAACATCTTGAGGAATTTTAAGACATATAGTCAAATAAGCATCCAAAGAAAAATGGAGAATTACCCTGAAAAAATTACCAAAGTAATAATAATAATGACAATCTGAACTGATTTAATCTCTGAAGTCTCCACAAGGAAGACTGAATCCAAGCCTGGTGGAGGTCATACATGTCTTTAATCCTACCACTTGGAAGGCAGAAGCATGCTGACTCAGTGAGGTTGAGGCCAGCCTGGTCTAAAAGGTGTGTTTCAGGACAGCCAGGATTGTTAACACAATGAAAACCTGTCTTGAAAAACAAAGCAAGCAAACAAAAAAGAAGATGCAACCCCACAGATAACAACTTCTGCAGGACTATGACAACACCATTATGCTGAACAACTCCAATTAAAGACTGGCTTTGGACTACAAACTGCTAAGAACAATTTTAACGAGGTCAGCTGAGATGATCCAGCCTCACAGTCTGCTCTAGCCAGGACATGAGAAAAACAAGCACTGCACTTACCCATTATGCTTAGACTGGACAAAGATGATACAGCTCCACAGTTAACCAAAATTTTTCTTTCCAGGATTCCCTAAAGATGCCACCATCCCCAGACAGCAAGAAATAACTTTACAAGTATGACACCCACATTCCAAAGATGTGGGGTGGGTGATTTTTTAGTAACTCATTGGGTTATGGATATTTGTTATTGTTTAGGGGACTGGATACAAACTGGTGTTGGCTATCGTCAGGAAGAAAGTAAACAAAGAGGATTAGACTCAAGATTTTTGTTCAGCTTGAAGCTTGAACCCCAATATCAATCTCTGGGTCTTTTATTAATTATGTTACACTTAAGAAGTGAAGAAAACCATAAAAACAGATCTGGTGAAAACGTATTTGAACAAGGGAACCAAGTTCCAGCCCCATCAATCAATTGGCAATTTGGGTCATTTGGTTCTGGATTTAGAGTCAAGGATACAAAAAAGGGCTGTGGTGCTGTGGGCTATCCATCAGAGAATACTTCTCAGACATGTGTTTAAGCCAATAGAAAGCCTTTATTAGCCTGCAGAGACTACACTGTGTACTCGGGATCCCAGTGCAGCTCTGAGACTTTCTCAGGGTTTTAAGCCTTTCTCTGAGCTTTTAAGCACAAAACCCATGTCCTGGGTTGACATACTTCAGTTAACAACAACAGTTAGCCAGAAGTGGAGCTACAGAAACTACAAAGCAAGGTTAGTACGGTTTGACAGTTTCCCAGTACCATATTAACTTTAACGGATTAGGCCTTTGTGTAAGTTTTGGCAGATGGTGTTGTCTACCTGCTGAGTTTTACATCCTGAATGGTACTTCCATGATGGAGTCAGTTGTGCTAAGTTCTGGAGCCCTGTTACATTGGGTTTAAGTCAATAGAAACTCTCTATTAGGCAGCCAGTAACTACATTGGGTTTTTGGTACCTGAGTACAGTCCCAAGCATTTCTCATTGTGAGATTTTAAGCACAAAAAAACATATTGTGGGTTGATATACTTCAGCTAACAAGAGCAGTTATACAAAAACAGAACTACAGAAACCAAAAAAAGGTAGGTTAGTATAATTAGAGACTTTCCTATGACTATGGATGGAATCTTTGTTTTTGTTTGTTTGGTGGTGTTGTCTACATAGCTTTATGGCTTTAATAGTGCTTCCATAATGGAATCATTTCTGCCAAGGTCTGGTGGGCCTGTTACTTTCCCCCTAGTCCAAGTGAATGAATCAAATATTGAACTCATATTGTTATATAGTTTATGATGCATGAGAAGTAAGTCTAAGTCTTTCTGATTTTGTCAGAGCACTTATACAAATGAGTTCAGCTGTTGTTCTCATCAAGAAATGGAAACTGGCAGTACCTCTAGGTCCTGATCAGCCTGTCTACTTACTTGCTTAGGGTTTTGTCTCCCATGACAAAGGCTGATGTGTCTATGACTGTTGAGCTAGTCGTCCCTGCTCTGACCAGGAGTGGGGTGAGAACAGGTGCGGCTCTTTTTCTCCCTGTATTCCAGGGTCCATATTAAAATGTGTTGTTTCTTTTTTATGTTACATAAAGTATCAGATGAGGCACATTTTGTCAAGCCATTAGTACATGCCAACTAAGTAGTCTCAGGCCTCTGTAATATTGCTGTTGCCCAGACGAGAGAACCCACAAGGCAGAACAACGGGCATCAGAATAAGGGGAAGGGCTTGGGTTAAAGGATTTGAAATTTTACAGGTTTCAGCCTCTTGTAAGTCCTCCAGTGCTACTTTAGGCTGCCACCCACCCTTCCTCATCACAATGAGTATTGGGCTGACAGTCTAGTTAGTTCCCATTTCTATGTATCACAGAGACTATGTTTCAAAGCAGAACCAGCAATTGTGGTGGATTTCAGGCTGGGAATGATTAACTCTATTGTCAGGGTCCCTTCCTGTGCCATGGAGTCTGATTCCCCTAGGTTTTCAAGGCTGGACTCTTTCTATGGAATTTTCAGATTTTTAATTTTATGGTCATTGGATTACATTTTCCTATTTTGCATTGCTGGGGAGGAGGCTTTCTATCTATCTACCTATCTGTGTGTTTTCAGGAAGCCTCTGTTTTACAACCCCAGCTTTTGAAAAGGAAACTCCCTTGTTCCTGGCAACTAGAGGGTCCAGTCTCATTGTATGCATAGAATTGTAATCTCTCTATACTTAGCTCAAAAGATGAACTCCCACATCTTTCCTTTATCCAGCATAACCAGATATTTAAGGTGAGCATCATTGATCGATGATCCAGATGAAGTATGGGTCGCTGTTCCATAGCCACATTAGCTATCACCTTCCCTGTATCTGTCTTCCCAGTTCTCAGGTCCAGGTCTGAGGGCAGTGGGGTTGGAACATGACCCTGTGTTCATATCAAACATAACTCAGGTGGAAATAGAGGAGCTTTGAGTGGAAGGGCCTGGGTCCAGATGAAACCTTCATTTTTATGTGTCCGTAGTGTGGGAGACAGTGAATTTGGCCAGAGCATCTGTCACTTCCACTTTCTTGACATGGATGTGGTGGATCCATGGTGTAACACCAGCATCCTTCACCACTGTAGGAGTGGAGATAATCACCTTTCTAAGTCAGTTCCAGTGCCCTTTGGCTAAGCCCATGGGCCCAGATGGTATCACCAGACGCAAAGCACAAATTGGTGGTAAACTCAGAGGTCTTTGGAATAGTCTGTTGGATAGCCTTTATGGGGGAACGGGTGGGCCTATATTGACTTGAGAAAAGAATGGTTAGAGAGTCTTCCAACTGCTAATCTATGCTGAGGAAGCAGTGGATCTTCTAAACATGATGTCATAAGGGGTAAATCCACCCCTATATGGGGCTCAGGGCACTAAAAGCAAAGAAAAGACATCTATACACTGGACTCTGATGAGAACTGTGTTAGAGATATTTCGGGTTTTTACTTTTTTTTTGATGTCCTGATTGTTCTATTTATCTGCCCAGAACTATGAAGTTCCTATGCACAATGAAGATTCGAATCTATACCTAAAACTTTTACTATTAATTATCAACACATACAATCTACAGCCAATATGAAAGGGTGTAATGCTAATGAAACTCCATGTTATATTGCTACCTAATAGCACTTTGACTCTGACTTCGGTCCATGAAAGATACATTTCAGGGACCACACCTCAGTAAGTGCTCCTCCACCCTGAACTATATAGTCATGACCATCTCCTACAATATGATATGGCTAGCTGCCTTTTTGGCTTAGTCAGACACTCAAGGACTATTCTTGGATCCTTTGAAAACCTAATCTTGCAGAGCAAAACAGCTTTTGGTTTGCTTGTGGAGACACTCGGGGTCCTCTTGAGGTTTTCCCATTTAAAATACTTCCTTTATCCCCACCCTTCTTGGCTTAATAGTTTCTAGTTTGACTCGGCTTGTTGTCCTGGAGTAGCCACAATACATTTAGCTGATGATAATTATAATCTGAAATGAGTATATGGTCATTTCCCAGAGTCTGTTACTCCATAACTTGGGGAGTAAGGGGAGCTTCATACACTTGGGCTAAGCCCACTCTGAGTGAATACAGGGCACAGACTTCCTGGTCCACATTGCCTCAAAAGGTGCCCATCTGGGTTGCTGAGATGGCTCACCAGTTAAAATGCTTGACATGTGAAACTGACAACATGAGTTCGACCCCAGGACCCTGTATAAAGGTGGAAGGGGAGAACTGATGACAGAGTTGCCCATGACCCCTAAACAGATTTCAAGGTATGAACATGCACACATCAGGCAACACACTATTATTAAAATTTCTTAAATTAGTGTGTTTAACCATGTCCTCATAGATGATCAGAGTTATAGAAAATGTCTGACAGGTCTCAGTAGATGGCTTTGTTCTAATGAGATAGAGTGGGGAGTGACTTGATCTAGGTCAGTCCTTATCTTTATAACCCACTCAATTTTTCCTGCAGGAGCATCTGTGACAAATGTACAACATGAACTTTCTCAGCTGTATCAGTGTGAGCATCAGACCTCATGCCTTAGGAGAGTTTCTCAAACAAATAATACGACCTATAGAAATACTTAGTCACACAAATCAAGGTGTGGTTATAAATTGTTTATTTCTTTAGATTGCAATATTCATCATATGTTGCGTACTTTAAAACTGTAACTGCTGATGAAGCAGACAAACATTGCTTTTTCATCATAGAACAGAGTCAAGGAGTAGTAAACTTGAAATTTCACCCACAGACCCAGTAAGTTCCTTAGATATCTGTAGAAGTTATTAATGTTAAAGTACATCTTCCCCAAAAATGATCACAGCCTTCATTCTACCACAGAACTTAGAAAATCATCCATGTTTTTTTTCTTTTGGCCTCTCTTCAGCACTCAGACCCATGAACTGCAGGAAAGCTATTGCTACACTCAGCAAGAGCAAGCAGCCGGACCAGGAGACCAGGTAGCACCACAAGCAGCAATAATGCAGGACTGTCTCTGCCTCCTGTAATTGGGAGGAGAAAGAAAGTTTTCCATGTGGGATATTGCAAGACACAGATATCTCCCCCTAAATATTTAGAACTCTAGTTCAAAACTCAAAAGAGTAGGCTCTAGGGGTCAGTGTGCCTGACTAGACTCCTCTGGCTTCCTCAGGATTCCTAAAGAACTCAACTACCAGGAGGTGAGCAAACTAATGGATCAACCACTTCCAGGGTCCTGTGCCCTAAGACACTGACTGGGGGAAAAAAGCTTTTCCTAACTAGAGTCTTCCTGGCCTGCTAGGGAGCCCTCTGTGCTTTTCCTTCCTCACCCTAGAAGAGGATTTGGGGTCTGAACCATGTGAAAGTCCATTGATGAAGCAATGTACATTGCTTCTATGTCAGCTGGTGTGAACTAGAACCTACTTGTGACTCTCAGCCTGCCTGGACTGGACACCAACTGTTTCTCCCAGATGGACAGCATCTTTCTGGCTGGACTTGGGTAGGGGGTCATGCTTTCCTAGGACCTCATCCTAACTCTGAACTTCTCTTTGCAAATGCATGAAGTCCCTGTGATCATTTCCCATAGTTCTACTTCAGCTCCAAAGACTTCTTATGTTTCCAAAAACCCCTCAGAGTATCAGGGACGATTAGAGCTATGATTGCTCAGCACTCAATAGTCTAACTGTAAATCATTTAAGGTTGGCTCCATGATCTGTCAGTCAAACTCAACTTCCTAGGACAACATAGAGTAGGGTCTGAATGTAAGTAAGCAAAACACTGTACATGTGTGGTGGGGAGTAGGAGACAAGGTCTCTAGACTGTAAGCAAGTGATTTTCTTGTGAATGTTGAGTCCCAAACCATTATGAATTTTGAACAAATGGCTGAAATGTGTACATAGTTCTTCATATTTAAAAACAAAAGGCATTTAATGAAAGATATCTACATGCCAAGTACTATGTCTTGAATGTCCCTGTCTTAACTTTCAAAGCAATACTACTAGAAAATTTGCCATTTGGGTCTTTATCATTCAAATGGGGAAATGGAGGCACAGATATCTGGTAACTTGCCAAGAATCACAGAACCAGTGATGTTTGATTACTCCTGATTATCATTGCTTCTGATTCCAGACCTATGACAGAGAGCATGGAACAGTAATTTTCTCTGGAAATATTAAGGAAGGGTTACTAAAACAATTCTTTAAAAAGTAATTACTGCCAGGTAGTGGTGGTGCACACCTTTAATCCCAGCACTGAGGAGGCAGAGGCAGGCAGATCTACAGCCTGCCTACAAGAGCTAGTTCCAGGACAGCCTCCAAAGCCACAGAGAAACCCTGTCTTGAAAAACCAAGTAATTGCCAGACTGAAATTGATGGTGTCTTTGCTTACACAGAATGAGACATGTGGTGAAAGGATGAAGAGAGAACCCAGGCCACAAGGAATGATGGGTACGCAGCCACAGAGACACCCAACCCCGGGAAAGCTTTGGTTTGAAAGGATGGATAAATACCTACCCTCTGATGGCACTGCTCACTCCTCACAGGGCTGGGCCAGGGAATAGCTTTTTCCTGAATCCCTCACTGTGTTCAACCATTTCCGATTCACCTTCATGGAGGTGTGTGCCCTTGGCTTACCGATGCTGCCCTTCATCATGCTAGGCACCCTGGCATGTCATGGCTCCTGGCAAGGAGCACCCCCTCTTCCATGTCATGATGTCCTCACCAGCTCCACCTCTAACACAGTCCCAGACTCACCTGAACTGCTCAGATGGCTGCTGACTATGTCCGTAGAATTGCTATAGAAGCAATTAAAGTTGCTCTTCTTTCTTTGAGGAGAGTCCAGAGAAATTTCATAGTACCCATCATACCCTTTTCCAATTTGTCTTGCTTTTACTTTTTGATATACTTCATAGCCTGGAATTAACACCTCCTTTTCATTGGATAAGAAGGAGAATTCTTTGATGTCAACCCCTAAGCATGTTTCAATGCTGAACAGTGTCCCATGATTACTTAAAAATGATTTTGAAACAGCTACAGCCTTAGCTGACGTTGAGGAAGCAAACTGTCCAAATCGCACAGAGCCCTTCCCTCTGTAAAGAAATTTGGTTTTGGTGCCTCGGTAAACTGTGTAACAATTCTTGTTATGCAGAAGCTGAAGAGCTCTTGTTAAGTAGTAATGGAAAGCCTTGTAAGGAAAGTTATGGAAATTTTTCCTGAATTCTCTAACAGCTCTGTTAAAATCTCTGTGAATGTCCCCAGTGTAGGCCACTAAAGCCGTTCCGTGGAAATCATGGAAACCTTCCGGATAGCTCATTTTGTTTTTTATCTTCTTCCAATGTTGATCTGCCTTTTTCCACTCAACTTTTAATTGCTCACTCATGTTGAAGTCTTCTTTTAACAACTGGGGTGCTTTCTCCTCCATTTCTTGGACACAGCCCTCATACTGATCATCAAATGCATTGGGAGCCATGTCCAAGTTGGAAGACTCAGCCAGGCCTGTCACCTTAAAAGAAGTAGGGTTTTGTTACTACCTAAGTTTGCTAAGATATTAGCATGTGCTGGGTGCTGTCTGGAGACTACAGCATGAGATGTTGCATGCTCCAACCTCATATGTGGCACATGCATGGACACAATATTATTAGGTTTTTAGCAGTAGAAAAAGTCAAGGCTGAGATCTCTGATTCTTTTGTGTTCATGATATAATTTTTTAGTCAGTATACAAAATAACAGGCCTCATTTTCAAACTTTCATATAAGCATATCATTGTATATTGCTATACTCACTCACACACAACCTTCCCCCTTACTGATATTATCTTTACTTTACTTCTTCAAGATTCATGCTCTCTAACATCCTGTAACCACAGCCTCAGCCCTGTGAAGTATATTCTCACGAAGATGTGGGCAGGGGAAAGCAGGGTCAACAGGATGTGGCTTGAGAATATTACCTGCTTGGTTAACAACCAAGTTAGGAGGAACTTGTGAATTTTTGATGTCATCTTCAAGTCCAAAAACATCTGCAAGCAAACATAAGACAATGAAAGAGGGTACACACAATATTGTAGCAGTCTGTTGATGGATCAGCTCTGGGTTAATGATAGAATCTTTATTTCACAACTGAAGGTCCAGACTTCTTCCTGCTCACACTGCTCCAAGAATGGCTTATCAAGACTATGTGAACAACTCTGCTTGGGTCCCTTTCCAAAAATGAGGCTGTTGATGTCCTCGCTACCTAGTAAGGACCTACAATCTATCGGTCCTGGTAACACACAAAGCTATACATCATGTAGGTTTCCAGGGAGAAATAGGCCACATTTTGGCAGTTCTGTTGTCAGTCCTGATGTTTTACTTTGCACAGACAATTGTATTCTTCTCTATTTTTTATTAGTTTGTGACTCACACTCAGCTTAGCACCTCTGAATGTCATTAATGCTGTCAGTGTTTATTACTATCATTACTAATAATCACTATGTTCTGTGATTAGTATATGTTTGTCCTCCCAGGTCCCCATTGTGGCCATGTGAAGGAGGAGAAATCTTTAACAGGTGAGGTTTACTGGGAAGTGATCAGATCATGGAAGACACCACACTCAGAAGAGATCATTTCATGTGTGGGCTCCTGCTTAGTTCCTACATGAGTAAGTCTGGCCCCAGAACCTCTCTGGCTTCCTCTCTTGCCATGTATCCCCTCTGCACAGGGCAATGACTTCTCTGCCACTTTGTGATTCTGCCAGGAAAACCATAACCAGCCAGCATTGCTAAGATTTGAGACTTTCCAGCTACCAGACTGTGAACTGAGTAAGCACCTTGACTTTGTAAACTTTCCAGGACCAAGCATTTTGTGATGTAATAGAAAACAAAAACCGATGACAAAGTTTAGGGTGTAAAGAACTTGCCTTGCAAATAGACATGAGTTTGATTCCCAGAACCCTTGAGGAAAAAGCAGGGTGTGATGACATGCATTTGTATTCCTGCACTGGTGAAAAAAGAGATCTTGAGACCTCCCTAAGCTCAATAGACAGCCAGAGAAGCCTACTTGGCGTGTCCTACACCTGTGAGAAACCCTGTCCTTAAAAACTGATGGACAGTTCCTGAGGAATGACAGCAGAGATTGTTCTCTGATTTCCACATGCTTGTGCCCACACAACTGAGTATACCCACACATGTGCATACACACACACACACACACACACACACACACACACACACACACACACACCAAGAAAAGAAAAATAAAAAGCAAGGAAGCAGACTAACACCATCAGTCTTATTAATAGCTGTATCTTATGAGAATGTATTGTTTGCACTGCTTTTTGAGAGGTGGGGCTTTAACATAAGCACTGAAAGGCAAGACAAGAAATGACCAGGAAAGTCACTCCCCGTTGGTGGAAGCCCATCCCTTCATTCCTGCCTATGGCTGTGGAAAATCATGGACCCTCTCCCCACGCTTATCTAAGCCTGTTGTGTTATTTTCCACAGATTTTTTACTTAGTTGGCAAGATAATACTCTCCCCACACCTTAAGAATGGCAGAAAGTTGCTGCATGCAGTCGCTAACTAGTTGTTCTTAGGAAGCTCCTCCTCCACAGCTTGGCTTCTCCTGCCCTGAGCCTTTAGAGGACACTGCAGAAACAACAGACTGAGAAGTTCTGCACTGCAGTGAAGGTTTCCACCTCTGTACATCCTCTACTCTTAAAACTTACTAATTATAATAAATAACTATATTGAGCTACAGAAGATAAACTCCCTAAAAACTTAAAGTCCTAGACAACAAGTTATGGCAGCACACACCTATAATCACAGCCCTCGGGAGGTGGAGGCAAGGGTATGCTGAGTCCCAGGCCAATTAAGGATGTAATGAGACTCTGAAAACACAAAGATAAAATTAGGCTCTGGCCAGTATATAAACAGAAGAATTTCTTTGGCCTTATGAACAGCCTGAGCCATTTAGCATTCCACTGCTTACTCAAAAAAGTTCCTAAAGTATGATTGCATAAGAAGTTCTCTGGAAACTTGTTACCAACAGAGATTTCTGGATCCTAGTCTCAAAGGCATGCATCTGGTATTTCCAATGAGCTACTTCATTAATTCTGACACAACTTGCTTTTTAAAAGATGTGTATGCAAGCATATGATGGGGTAGGGGGTGTTGCGCACCCGAGTATGGGTGCTCTCTGAGGACAGAGGTGTCAGGTTCTCTGGAGCTGGAGTTACAGGCACTTGTGAGCCACCTGACATGGGTGATGGAACTGAGCTCTGATCCCTCTGCAAGAGGAACTTGTTGCTCTAACCAAGGAGCCATCTCTCCAGTCCGCAGTTTGCTTTTTGGGAAGGATCACCGAGCAGTACTGAGGATTGAACCCAGAAACTTGTGCATGCCAGGTAAGCACCTTTCCACTGAGCTATACCCAGCTGGACAGTGAAGCCTCTTTACATAGCACACTCCACACTCTAGCTCTTTCTCTGGTCTTAACTACAACCACCCACCCCTTTCTTGTCTTAAAACTTAAGCTTCAGAACTATTTTGAAGACAGCAAGTCTGAGAAATCCCAGATGGAGGTTCCTGAAAAAAGGGGTCCTGTAGGGTTGGTCAGTCAGCAGAAGGACTTTCTCATTCAGGAAGCATGGCTCAGTCAGCCTGGAGTAAATTTCCAATTCTCTCCTCCCCTCCCTAGTTCTCATGTGATTGGTCAGATATTTGCCTTTCACAAGACTGCTGTCTACTTCTCTCTGGGACAGCTAAGTACAGCCTCCTTCACTGGCCCTGATGCCCTGCACACCCCACACAGACTGAAGATATGCAACGAGTCACTTCAGCCCCAGTATGAACTCCTGCAATTTGTGCCAATTAAATTCCCCCTGGAAATCTGTGTAGCTAACACCTTGGACCTCAATTTTTTAAAATCTCTCTCTCTTTTCTTTCATCCCCATCTCTTCTTTCCTCACCCCCTCCCACTGTCCTTCTATTCTGCTTTATATCTGCAAGATCCTACATGAACAGTACCCAAAAAAGCAAAAATCAAAAACAAAACCAGCCTATGTCTCCAACATGCAGGAGATCTGGAGCAGGAGGACCTCAACATTTGGGTTAGACTTGGGTACATAGCAAGAATGGATGAATAAAGCTAAGAAGAGGATAGAAGCTAATGTTTGCATGGAGCTGGGAGGAAAATGGGATTAATTAAGTATATCCCTGTTCTGTCCTGAAAATCCAGGAAGTACAGGAAGGAAAAAGTCTATATACATAAGCACCCATATGCACAAATGCCAGTTGCTTCCTGCAGGCCTGGGAGGTAAATTGAGTGGTCCTGAGTTATATTTTTAAGTTTCTAGAAAGATCGATAGCCTCTTGTCTATCCTTCCTTTATCTAAACCTAACCCCATATCTCTACATGGTCTATTTCTTGCCCAGAACATACATTCTGGCTTTAACCCTCAAGTTATAGACTAACACCCCCCCCCTGCCCACTGCTACACCACTGCAGCACTCAGATTTTTCTCAGAGTCCCCTCAACTATAGAGGCCTTCCCCTTCAGAGGACAGAGTTCAGAATTGTCAGGTACCTGGGCAGATCTTTGGTGGCTGGGTCTCTGGCCTCTTCTAAAAGCAAGGGTTGGAGAAGGCAGTGCTGTAACCTTTTTATTCTGTGGATGATGTGGTTTCAGTTTCAGGTCAGATTTGAAAGAGATTCCAGATGGTTTATGAACTACTTAAATTAGATACATTGTATTGTGTTACTCTGCCTTTTCTATTCTCTATCTCTTTTTTGTTCTGAGTTTTTCATTTTTGCTTTTGCTGGAGACAAGGTCTCATTATCGTGCATTGCCTCTTCCTGGCTTATGTCGCTGAGGATAACCTAAAATCCTGAGTCTCTTGCCACAGGTCATCACTGACCCTGATGCCCCTCGCACCCCACACAAACTGAAGAATCACAACCTGAGTCACTTCAGCCCCAGGATTAACTCCTACAATTTGCACCTGCCAATTAAAATTCCCCCTGAACCTCAATTAAAACAGTGTGCAAAAACAGAACCCAGGATCTGTTGCTACTCCTCAATCACTCTATCAACCAAACTGCATTCCCTTCCTGCACCTTTTCCTCTGTCTGTACCACAATGAGTCAGGGCGTGTGTGTGTGTGTGTGTGTGTGTGTGTGTGTGTGTGTGTGTGTTTCCGCACATGCGCATGCACATATGAAATATGTGGATACTGCAGAAAGCATAAGTTGGTTGACATTTGCCCTACATATCAGTTTTACAAATCACGTGTAAGCCTTGTGTGTTGGCTCACACCTTTAATCCAGCATTTGGGAGACTAAGGCAGAAGGATCTCTGTGAATTTGAGACCAGATAAGTCTACATAGTGAGACCCTGTCAAAAAAACAAAACCATCACCAAATCACCTGAGTGCTCTAGAGGAATTAGGTAAAAGTGAAGAGAGGTGACTATTTTAGTGTGGGGAGGAGGGTCAAGACAGAATTTCTCTGTTTAATCTTGGCTGGCCTGGAACACACTCTGTAGAGCAGACTGGCCTCAAATTCACACAGATCCACCTGTCTCTGTCTCCCAGGTGCTGGGATAAAGGCTTGTGCCATCACCACCAGGCTCATTTTTGCTTTCTTAGTTGTCCCTGGCTACAATATTCTGGCATACTGGCTACAGCATATGAACAAAGTGTTGGTGTTGGAGCTTCCTATGGTAACCACCTGCTTCTTTCAATCCTGGATCCATGTAATGAGTTCATCAGCTTCTTGGGTTCCTAGGCAAAACCACTGGGAGACATATTAGTAGAAAACACCATAACAGACAAGGTGGCCAGAAATCTATAACCTCCTGTTCCATCATGTATAGGGAAGAGGAAAAAATAATACCCTGGGACCTTTTGTGCATCCAGCTTTCATAACTGAACTTTCAGAAATGAACTTGTGTGCTTGTGCTGGTGTATATGTGGAGGATCCTACAAGAAACCTAACCCCATTCCTCCTCTTATTTCCCTTCCCCATTCCTCTGCTTCCTCCCCCTCCCTTTTGGAGACAATGTCTTGCTATGTTACCCAGGCTGGCACAAAGTCTTCATCTCAAGCCTCTTCAGTGGTTGAGACTGTAGATATCATTGCTCTGGCTCTAGTTCTCTCTTTGTTCTAGATCTCAGACATCTTGGTTCCCCAGACTCCAGTGCGCTGGCTTACTCCCACACTATTGGATAATCCCATAATGTTATATTGGACAAAACATATCATTGTCTTCTCCTGATGATTGATTTTGTACTAAAGGCACAAAATCCTACTGGCAGAGAAATGAAAACCTGAAATTGTGCAAGTATCCCCAGGTGTGGTGATTTATGTGCCTGTAATGCCAGCACTTGGGAGGTGGAGGCAGGTATATCAGGAATTCAAGGACAGCCTTGACTACATAACAAGTTTGGTACCAGCCTGGACTACCTAAGACCTTATCTCAAAAATAATGTGGATGGACCCCACCCTTCAGCGTCCCCAGCTTCAGGTGAGCTTGGGTCCCCCTGGGACCACCACCCCTGCACATCACCCACTCCCTCAATCTTCAGGGGGCCTGCTCATGGCATCCAGAGGACCAGCCCACCCAAGAAAGGCATCAGTCCTTCCAAAACCCACTCTCCAGCATCCCCAGCATCCGCTTCATGAAAGAAAGAGACCAGTGGAGACAGAAAGACCCCACCTGCCCCCACTGGAAGAAGAGATGGGAAGAAGAGAGAATAAGAGCTCACTCAGCAATAGAAAGACCAACATGACTCCAACAGAATCTAGAGACCCAATGCCAGAAAGACCTGAAAAGTACAGCATAGATGAAGCAGAAGAGACAGAACTTAAAAATTATGTCATGAAGATGATAGAGACCATCAAGAGGAAACGAGGAAATCCCTTAAAGAAATAGAAGAAAAAAACAAACAAAAAATACATGCAATGGAGGAAAAGACAAACCAAAAAATTCAAGAAATAAACAAATCTCTTAAAGAATCTAAAGAGTGCCAAGAAAAAACAACCAAACAAATGAAGAAAACAACTCAAGCAGTTGAAGGATTGAAGGCTGAAATAGAAACAATAAATACAACACAGAATGAGGGGATGTGGAAATAGAAAAGCTGGGTAAACGATCAGAAGCTACAGACGCAAGTATCACCAATAAAATACAAGAGATAGAATCTCAGGTGTTGAAGATTCACTAGAGGATATACAGTCATCAACCAAAGAAAATCTCAAAACTAACAAATCCCTAACACGAAATATCCAGGAAATATGGGACCCCGTGAAGAAGCCAAACCTGAGAATAATATGTATAGAAGAAGGAGAAGAAATACAGAAAACATATTAAACAAAGTATGGAGATTCCTCAGGAAAATGGGAATCAGTCTACCACAAGACCCAGCAATTCCATTTTTAGGCATATATCCAAAAGATGCACATTCATACAACAAGGACGTCTGTTCCACTATGTTCATAGCAGCATTATTTGTAATAGCCAGAACCTGGAAGCAACCTAGATGCCCCTTAACTGAAGAGTGGATAGAGAAAATGTGGTACATTTACACAATGGAGTATTACTCAGCAGAAAAAAAAATGGAATCTTGAAATTCGCAGGCAAATGGATGGCAATAGAAGAAACCATTCTGAGTGAGGTAACCCAGTCACAAAAAGACAAACATGGTATGTACTCACTCATATATGGATTTTAGACATGGATCAGTGTAGTGCCAGTCTGCACTTCCACTGACAGAGAACCTGGGAAACAGGAAAGAACCTAAGAGAGATATGCATGGTACCCCAGAGAAGAGGAATAAGGCAAGATCTCCTGAACAGATTGGGAACACAGCGGGGAGAGGGGGAGAAGAGAGGAGGAGAGAGTAGGTCATGGGGGAACAGGAAGGTTGAGTAGGGGTAGAATAGGGGGAGAACAGGATGAGAAATGCCATAATAGAGGGAGTCATAGGTTTGAAGAGAGATCTGGCACCAGTGAGACCTCTAGTGATCTAAAAGGAAGACACCAACTGGCAAGCTAAGCAATAGTGGAAAGACCACCTTAAATGCCTGTTTCTGATAATGAACTTGATATTTACCCTATATGCCATCCTAGAACCTTCATCCAGTGACTGATGGAAGCAGAGGCAAACACCCACAGTTAAACACTGAACTGAACCCATGGAACCCAGTGACATAGAGAGAGGAGCGATGAGCAAATTGGCAAAGAATGGCCTGGCGAAACCAGCAGAGACAGCTGATCTGAACAAGGGGGAGCTCTTAGACCCAAGACCGACAGCTGGGAGGCCAGCATGGGACTGATCCAGACCCCCTGAGTGTGAGAGTCAGTGAGGAGGCCTGGGCAACCTATGGGGCCCTGAGCAGTGGATCAGTGTATATCCCTGGCATACAAATGGACTTCGTGTGTCCATAACATAAAGAGGGATGTTCTCTCAACCTGGACCCTGCCCTGAGCGAAATGACAGACTTTAGATGTCCCCTATGTGGAAGAAAGTGGGGGTGGGGGTGTGGGAGAAGGGGAGGGAGAGGGAACTGGGATTGACATGTGAAGCAAGCTATTTAAAATTAAAGCAATATAAAAAATAATGTGGGTGGTGGAATGTCAAGAAAGGCCACTGCAGTAGGAAAATGCTCAAAACCTAAATCAAAAACCTCTTGGGGACAGGGGACAGGGTAGACAAAACCTCCACATGCCAAGGCTGTGAGAAAGAAGAAGGTGGCTGTAGAAAGAAGGATGTGACCAAAGTGTCATGAGGGTGTTTTAGCACTCAATACACTGCATGGAGCATACCTTAACCAATGGTGGGAGCCAGCCATGCTGTTGGTGCTTAGGCACACTAGTGCACTTCAGGTTCTTCAGTGGTACAGGCAGTTAGATTGTAGGATACTCACGTCAAATTCAGCTCAAACCAAATCTGCCTATCAGAACTTCTGACCAGCCTCATTAGTGCACGTTCTTGCCCAAGACTGGCTCAGAGGGGCCGTCCTTTTATAACTCTGGGTAAGGGGAAATCTAAAGGAGGGGTCTCTCTTGGTGATGATGTTCTTGGAGGGCTGGTTGTTGCATCTGTTAGTGTGTTGAGACCAGCCTGCACTCTATGAGGTCCTACAGATTCAGCATCTTAAACACATAATGCCTAAAACAAAAAGGAGAAATGTCCCATTAAAGTAAAAATTGAAACCCAAGGGTATTCATAAAATGGATTCTAAGAGGTATATGGAAATCTTTCAATTCTGTGGTACTGCTTGCTTCCTGAGGCTAAGACATTGAAGCCTTTATGAAGCTGTTGATTACTTTTCCCATGGGAGAATGCAATTCCCAGCATTTTACCTAGTAGCTCACACAGTAACCTGCCCAGCTGGAAGTCCATCCCATCTCAGTCTGCAGCAAGGATAGTCCTTGAGGTATGGGGCGTGTTCAGACTGTAGCCTGCAATGATTCTTAGGTCCTAAGAGGGACAGGGTAATTTAGACTCCTCGGGAGGATGTGAGCTGTCAGTTTAGTTGTCACAGATGCAAGATGGGAAAGAGAAATACTGGAAAGTGAATTTGAAGAATTGCAGTCAGATACTGAAATAAACTGGAAGAATTGAAAATCTTGTGAGTATTGAAGGTCAGGTGGTGGTGGCACATGCCTTTAGTCTCAGCACTTGGGAGAGAGAGGCAGGCAGATCTCTGTGAGTTTCAGGACAGCCTGGTCTACATAGCAGTTCCAAGTCAGCTAGGACTACACAGTGAAACCCTGTCTCAAAAAGACAAAAGTAGTGACAATTTGGGAATGGTAAGAAGATCCAGTAAAATTTATAAGTAGATACCAAAACTGGTTGCTCCATAGCAAAAAATTAATTACATATTGCAAGATAAGATTGAGTCTGTATGTGTATTAATGATCCACAATTCATTATGGAAGAAATAATGTAAAGAACATAGTACCCAAGAGAAGAGGATTGAGACAAGATCCTCTGAATGGATGGGGAACACGGCGAGGGGTGGGGGGGGAGTGGGAGCTGGGAAGAAGAGAGGGGGTGAAGAGGAAGAGAGTTGGTCATGGGGGATCAGGAAGTTGAGTGGGTGGGGGTAGAATAGGGGGAAGAGGGAATCATAGGATCG